ACAAAAAAATCCAACATAAGGGGAAATCTGACTTTAGGCTCCTGTTTTTGAAATTTTTGGCCTATGTATAAAAAGGTCACTAACTTTGATGTATTGGAAGTTTAAATAACTTTTCATTATTAACATCAAAGCAGTTTTGTTTTGAAGTGACAAAGATTTTGTGTGGGTCAAGAAGTTTTTAATTAAAAACTATTTTAGCTAGTCCTTGATGCTGTAAACACAGAAACTCATGCTAAATTATAAGCACAAGGCCCATGATTCACATGATTTGAAGTCAGTGGGGTTGTTCATGTTATGAACCTATTTACGTGTTTATGGGATCAGGGCTTTCATTTTCACTATTTTGTTTTTGGCCTATAGCAGTTTAGTACAAATAAAATAAGATACCATATGAGTTGTGGCTTAAATTTCAGCACCTACATTAGAGCTGTGCAAATAATCAATTTTACAGTTTGCTGGTTGAACCAAAACCTTTAATAAAAAAAGCAACCCTTTTCAGATAAACAAGATTTTTTTTTTCCGTTTTCTTACCAAAACAAAAAACCCTGAAAAAAGTTTTGAATGAAATGTTTTCTTTTGCTTTGGGGCATTTTAAAGTGTGTTTTCATCTTAAGCAAAGGAACTATGAAAGCACCATTCACAAAACTAATGGAGGAGGAAGTGGTGGCGCCCCTTTATATCCTGTATCCCAGGGGAGTGCTCTAACCATGGGGCTGTGGGAGACCAGGGTTCAGGTTCCCCCTTCCTGCATGAGTTGCCTAATCACCAAACTATATAGAGTCATTTTCTCTCTCTAGCCCATCTAAGCATCTGGAACAAGAGATGGTTGTGGTGCTGCTAAACCAGTTTTTAACAGAAATAGCCTCTTCTGCAGATGCAAAGAGTATTTTCAGTTTATTCATCTGGTTTAGTTTATTAAAAATTGAGAAACTGAGTTGAAAAAGCAGAAAAGCTGGTTTATTGTTCCAATCTGTTAATAAAAACTAGGTATGAGAGAATGAAATCTACTGGTAGTAATAGCTTGAAGGATGTGGTGACTAAAACAGTAAGTTCAATTCCCTAACTACAGATACTTCCTTTGTTTATTAAGTTAGTTCTAAGTGCAAAACATACTTTGATACAGTTTTTTCCCTTATCTAGCACATTTAAGGTAGTTTTATTGAACTAATAAAAACAATTTTAAATTGCTGTTTATGTGCATTTTTAATTGAATTTAAATTTCTGTCTAAATAGGGCTTCATAAAATCACAAGTAAAAATTAATCTAATAAGTGAAATGGAACATTCCCCATTTTCTAACATAAAAACGTAAAAATTCAGAATCTGAATAAAATGTGAGTTAAGCTATATAAGTGCTTAACTATGTATAGATACAGTACATCTGCTTGGTTAGCAACAAAGCACGAAATTTAGTGCAAAGGCTATATTTAGTTGTAAATCAACATATTTTAATAGTTTCCATCCAATGAGAATCAACCTTTCTTTAGGAAAATAAAAAGCAGAGATGTAAAACAAGACTCAAAACAGTGATTTAAATCAGGGTTTCCTGCTTGCTGATTTAAATCATGATTAAAATCAGTGATTTAAATTGCTTTGATTAAAATCAGTCCAACCTGCTATCTGCCCTCACTCTTCCTAGAGTTGTACATAACCATTCCATGACAAAAAGTAATTGAAATTTATCATTTTTGATAAGAGTATAATAATGTATCTTTCTTGAGTTCCTTGTATCCTGGACAGTAGAGGAGAAAATGTGTTGGGTTTGATTTTTCACTCCATACATACATATTGCCTGTTTTGCTATGTAATAGTGTTTAGGGACCTGGAGTAGTCTAGCTGCTTTTTAGGTTTTTGTCTAATGCCTTGAGTCTCAGTGGGATTTTTTTGTCTATTCCTTTGGAGGGGTTATTGATAAAAGCCTGTGGGTTTTTTTTTTTGGTTTGGTACTCTGATGGACAGGAAGAAGTTATACTATTTTAGTTGAGATGACTTCAGAAATTGGTTTTTTTTATTAAGCCAAGGGAATTCCCCTTGTTATACTCTCAGTTGCAGTTGAGAGTTTGTGTACATGGAGTATTTGTTTTCAGAACTGCAGAAAAAGACTTCTGTTGTGGTTTGTCATGTTTGAAGTTTAATTTATGTCTGTATAGTTGGTGAACCCAGATCTTAAAAAATTTCCTTGATATGGACTAGCCACATAGTGCAACATAGATGTGGTGGTGCTGGGCACTTGGAATTTAAGCTGTAGGGGCTTGTCTACATGAACACACAGACTGTGGTAAGCTGGGGTGGGAATCTACCCTGCACTAGCCTGCTGTGGTCTAACTGTGCATGTGGACTTTGTGGATGCATATTAATAGTTAATGTGCTTTGATCTAGTCCTCTTTGAAACAGGTACACATGGACAGCTAGACTGTGGCAGGCTAGCGCAGGATAGATTCATACCCCAGCTTGTCAGTCTGTGTTCATGTAGACAAGCCCTAAGACAGTTAAGAACTACTGCAATACATATTTTTTCATAGTGTGGATAACACTTTAATACAGAACCAGTTGTCCTCCATTTCACAATCACATAACATCTCTGTAGCTATGGCAGCACTTGGTTGTATAGAAAAGTAATATTGAGGAAAGTATTTAACTCTAAAAGTAACTTAGCAGCTGGAAATGTGGCCTGAGCACCATGGTGGCCAGCAAGTGGTTCCTGGACCACAATTTGAGAGCCTCTGCTGTAAACTGTATTTCATTGTAATTCATTGTACATACATGTGCTTTTACAAATGGACTAGAAAGCCTAACTTTACTATGTCCCTTGCTTTCATTATATCGCCTTCCTTTCTGTCTTCACTCCAATTTTTTAATACTCTATGCGATGATAGACCATGGTGTATAATCCAAATGAGAAGCCCTCTTGCTGAAGGTGCAGGGATACCTAGAAGGGTTCTGACACTGCCTCTGCCCAAGGGATCTGTTTTTGTAACCTGTGGCTAAGAGGTATCTGATATTTGAAGCCTCCAAACTCCTCTGACTGCTGAAAGGGAGAGAGAGAAATATGAGAGGAAGGATAGTTCTGTGGTTAAACCTCTGGACAAGGAATCAGAAGATCTGTTTCCTACTACTGGCTCTGCCAAAAACTTATCTGATTTTGGGCAAGTCACTTAAGCCTCTATGCCTCAGTTTACCTATTTGACAGTAGTGTTAAATTAATCCATTATGAGGTGCTTAGACACAGTGTTGTCCATAGGATTCTGTATAGCAGAACCATATTGCAGTTTGGCAAAACACAAAGGAGCAGCAGGGATGTACTGACTAAAGTTGTCTGTGGAGTCATGGAGACAGCGGGCCATTACTTTCTGTTTAGTTGACATTTGGAAAGATATCTTTGCCCCAAGGACTAGAAACTAAATTTTGTAAAATGAAAGTCTAGAGTCTACAGAAGCTAATGATCATCCTGGGAAGTGGTGTTTTTGCTGTGAGCAGTAGATTTTTCCAAGCTGTGGTTGGACCTGCAGAAATCTGAAAAATGCCTGTGGGAGAGGGGTGTCTGTAAGCATCTGGAGGCCCTTTTTAAAGAGCACAAAGCCTGTCGATTTTTTTCTTTTAATTGCCTTTGAAGTTTTTTTATGTGTTTTGTGAAACTGGGGAGAGGGGGCCAGTGTATGTAGTTCTCTGTATTAGTTGTCTAATTCAGGTGCTGATGCTCATGGGAGCAAAAGCTATGAAAGTTGCTAGAGGTAACTGTTTAATTGGAGAGATGGCAACATAGGAATGCCTTGAGGGGAGAGGATAAGGGAAGGGATGTTTAGGGTACACTTTGAACATGTTTCTAGAAATTATTAGATGCCAGATTGAAATAAAACTGAAGCTTGTGTAAAACATTTAAGAATTTCGATTTTCTTATTGTATAGCAGTACCTTGGGGTAATGGGAATTAACAGTTAATGTTACTTTAAATTGTTTTTTTTAATACGTAGCCACTTAAAAATTCATTTGGTATAATTGTGACATTTCAATATGCATATTCATTTCTTAAGTTTAGAAGAGCATATATACCACCTGGAATGATGATAATTTAGATGCTATATTTTAAATGATTGAGGCTAGATTATTCAAGTTACTTAAATATTACGAAATTATACGAATTTTGAACTCCATATTGTTGTCCTTCAGAAGAGACCAAAATTTGATCCATGAAATATTACTTGTCTGGACCATGGTTTAGAAAGCTGCTGATCCTGAAATTTTTGTACTGATTTGCCTAACAGTTTGTAGTCCTGGCAGGTGTCAAAATAATAGTCCCACTATACAATCATATTATTCTGATTACTCTCTTGTTTTCTTCCCCCTTGAGTTGCAACATGTTATCAGCATCTCTGGAAAAAAATAGTGTGAAATATTGATTTCTATCTGGACGCTTGGAGTATCTGCTTTTAAATGATTGGTTTTTAATTATGGAGGTGTGTAGATATCAGCCCTTAATTAAGATGGAATATAATGGTGGGGTCAAAGGGAAGCAAGGTAGTAATCAGAAGAACTGTATTAAAATCAGATGTCAACAGAAGGTGGCTAGTGCTATTAGAGCTGGAAGGTTGAAACTCGCAGGTTTCCAAAGGTGTCTGTCATTTACTTCTAACCATGATGGTTCGTGACCTTAAAACTGTCACTAATTATTCACCCTAGGAGGGCTTTTAAGGCTGGTCTTGTACCTCAGACCAGTGTAACTTGTCACTTGTATCTTCAGTCTTTTAACATGAATATTATGGAGTGAACTTCTTTAAATGTCAGATTCTTTATTTATATTTGCATTTCACAGATGAATATAGTGGATAAAATGGCCCCTTTAATGGGTTGCAGACTTATGCATCACTTAAAAAAATAGCTTTAGAAACTATTATTGGTATCAGTTAATTATCCCGGATGCTTGATATCTGAAATGGAAATAAAGTTGAGGGATACTGTAAAGTAGTCATTACTAGGTTAACTTTTGTTTTAACTTTTCTTTTAGAACAAATTCTGTACAACATAAAACAGGAGTACAAACGCATGCAGAAGAGGAGACATTTAGAAAATAGCTTCCAGCAGACAGATCCATGTTGTTCTACTGATGCACAGCCACATGCATTTCTCCTTACTGGACCAGCTTTGCCAGGTATCTAGCACAACTCTGTATAACTTTGATATATACCTTATGACTTCATGTGGGTAGATAACTTTTCTCAAGTTCTCGGATTCCCTGTGAACTGTCTCTTGCTTAAGTCATATCCTTACTGTTTGTGGAGTTGCATTCATTGCAAGCATTAATGTCTTGGCAAATTCCAGCTTTTGATTAAAAGAATTAAAATAGAGCACTCCGTGAAGCTTTTGTTAGCTCATTCCCAGTAAATCATCCTGCAAACAAACTTTTTCTAAACCATTGAGCAGCAGATGTCTTTACAGAAAGATCAACTCATACTTTAAAAATAGATGTAACTTTACTCACAATGAATGCCTAGGATCCTTAATGAGAACATGTTTCTATAGGAGTATAACCTGTCTTTTCTTTGCTGTAATAGACATTTTTGCATGTAGTAAATGCTATTTAATATTTTTTTGAGGCTTTCATTATCCTTACAGCATGCTGAACTGAGAGCATAATTTTAGATTACTTCCTTTTTAAGTGATGGTATAAAATATTTACAATATCAATAAAATTTGGAAGTATCCAAAAATTAAAGCAAGATTTTGCCAAATGTTTTGTTTGGAGAACACATTTAATGTAATAGAGATGATGTGTAGAAAGCTGGAAGATGTTGAATGTTGACTGTGAGTTACTTATGTGTAAATATTTACACATAGGTACTTCATCTGCAGCATCATCACCATTGAAAAAAGAACAGCCCCTGTTTACTCTCAGACAAGTTGGAATGATCTGTGAACGTTTGCTGAAAGAACGTGAAGAGAAAATCCGTGAAGAGTATGAAGAAATTTTGACCACAAAACTTGCAGGTGTGTTTGAATTAAATGCAACTTGAAAAAAAAGATTCATATATTGGCAACCGCAATTTCTGTAACTTTAATGTTATATCCAGTGTGTACCTGGCCTTGTATTGGCTAAGAAATGAGATGCTCAAGTTGAAAATTTAAGTTTCCATCTCTGGATATAGCAAAAATGATAACGTGTAGTGTCTGTTGTAGACTATCTGGCCCGTCTTCTGTGCTGCTATGGACAGAAGTTATAACTCCATGGGTATTTCTACACCATCAATTGGTGGAAGCAGAGTTTTTATTTCAAATAGAACTTTCTCTTGCTGGCATATTTGAGCTGACCATCTCCTCCCCATTTTCTGTCTCCACAGAGAAAATGGCTTCCTATTTGGCTTTCCTAAGAGCCATTTGCAGTGTTTTTTTCCTCCTGGGGAAGGGCTTTTCTCCCCCCCCCCCCCTTTTTTTTTTTTTTTTAAACAGGAGTTTTGCATTTGGCATAGAGGGGACAGTACGTGAGGCAGATACCTTTAGCACTAGAAGTTTCCCATATACCAACCCTGATTGAGCCCAGACAACCAGCAGTGTTTGGCTACTACTCGTGTTTTTCTGACCAGTGGCATAGTTGCTTTCTTCTTTACTACACAGTGGATTGCCTGTTTCCTCTGCCCCTGAACCCCTCTTTATTGTGGGTAGTTGCATTCACCCCATGCTCTTCGTGCTGGATTGCTGGCTCACTGATGTAGTTCAATTAGTGGAGGTGAGGAACTTTGACTGTACTTGTGGCTGGGCATCCCATAGATCCGTCTTAGACCAGAATGTCCTTAGGCTCAAAGCAGTGTAAAAATACACATGTAAATAGTAGTTTTTCTACCCATATTCACTTTTAAGCAGCCTCAGTATTCCTAAATACCTGTGTTAGGTAGATGGCTTCCCACTGCTGTAGTACCTATTGTATAATTTTAGAGTCTTTCCCTCGAGATCATCAGGTGCATTCCTTCTTAAGTGTTCTCTACTTAAGCTCAGTTGAAGACCAAGAATGTTTACACATTCGTGTTCTGGATAACTACAGGTTTCCAACCTAGAGAAGTTGTCTGCATGACAGGTACTTCCTGAAAAATCTCTACTCCCTCAGTCAGAGTTCCACTGGAGACTGATCTCTTGGGGAGAGGAGCTTATATGATGATTAGTGGGCTCTTAAGGCAGAGGTTACCAAAAAAAGCTGTTAGAAATGCTATAGGATCATATTACCTCATTCATATATGGAGCAATGACAGATGTTCTGTAACATATGGGAACTTTTGAGGAGGGAGTGCCAAATTAAAATCCAGAGCAAGTCCCTCAGCAAGAGACTAGTTAAGTTGTGTTTTACCACCACAATGGTTGTATCCCCTTCCAATACACACATCCTTTCCAAGGTGATAGCTCTTCAGTATGAAAGGATAAATCAGTAGGAATCTAGTCTCTAGCAGATCTTAACCAAATGGCTTTCTGCCCCTAAGCCGACTTGTTCACCACTTGGTACTTTTCAAAGTTCAGAGTCTCTTCTTGCTTCTGCAACTATTAGGGTTTCTTTATAGTTTACCAGAGAGCTCCTTTTTTCCATCTTTCATTGTGTATGGGTGTCTGACAAACAATTGAATCTTCCAAATAGTGAACCTGATTCAGTGGAGTTCTTTGGTTCTTCCTTATCTCCACTACCTGGAACCTTAATTAGCATTCACTTGAGCTTAGAATCATTAGAGATACTAACCTCAGTAGGGTTGTGGCTAAAACATTATTCCTCTTCTGTTCCCTATATAAAAGCTTTTGCAGGTCTGAGAAGGTTAGTTAGGTTCAGGTCACAGGGTACTGACATATATTGATATCGCCTGCTGTATTCTTACATAGCACTCTGGTATTTCTCATTCCTTTGTAGTTGTGGTGGTTACCTACTTCTAAGGCAACCTGGAAAAACTCAGAGTTCTAATGTGCTACAAGCCCTCATTAAAACTGATTTCAAACAGCCAGTTGTGGATTTGTCCCTTTCCTGTGACATTCAGTTTGATGAATAAGATAAGTGATCAGGGATTTCTATTTCATTTGTAGACCTGTACTTTGAGCATACTAGATAATAGTGTGCAAACCAGTGCTATACTGAGCCAAATTTAAATTCACAAGAGAACTTATGAGGTGGCTATCTAGTTTTTAATATATTGTTTTTCTAAACATTCTAAAATTGAGTTGCTGCTGTTCTTGGATACTGTTTCTGGGCAACCAATCCTTCCATCTGCTCACATTGGGTATGTCTACACTGCAATTAAAAACCTGGGTTCTGATGAAAGGGCTGTTTAATTACGGTGTAGATGCTCAGGCTGGAGCATAGAACCTGCAAGGTGGGAGGGTCCTAGAGTGCCCAAATGTCTATGCTGCAGTTAAACAGCCCCCTAGCCTGAGTCGTGTGAACCTGAGTCAGCTTGCATGGGCCAGCCACAGGTGTCTAATTGCAGTGTAGACATACCCATTGTGTTATCCCAGTATTTTGGTTAACATCCTCATGCAGCTGAGGAAGAGTTGGCTGAATCTGAATTTCCAGTAAGTTAGAGATTATGCTTGAGGGGAGAGGGAAACACTTTTAAAAAAACTGGCTGCCATGTTACTGGCCAGTTCCAGTCAAAGGTTGAAGGCCCACATATCATCAAGACAGTCCACACTTAGGAGTTCTTTTGCACTGCTTGCTGATTACTGATTCACTGTTTACTTTGCTCATCCCTGCAGGAGGATGGGACTTTCATGGGGGGGACCCTCAGACTGGGACTCTTCTGTGGAAACCAAGAACTACTACTACATTTTTGGTTGAAGATTGCTTTCTTTAACCTTGCCTCTTCTAAGAACAGTGCAGAGCACTTAAAAGTAATAACCCAACACACCTCACATGCGGTTTTCCACAAGGGAGGAAGGGGAATGGAGAGGAGCTGCATCTGATAGATCTTCTTCTTTAATTTCCTAATTCTGAACATTAATACCATGTTGATGGGTGCAATATTAGAAACTGAAGAGAATATGAAAAAATGTGTTCTTATGTATGTGATGTATAGAGATTCCTTCTGGAAAGGACTAATTTTGAGTTCAGAGTGAACTGAATATTCTTTATAGCATCATCTTAATCTTAGTATTTAGTTTGAGGAGATTACTCAATAGCTGATTTTACTAAACCCCCAGTCACCTGTTCCCTATTGTGACTATTTTTGCTGTTGAAATAAAGCAAATATTTTTCACTTAGCTTTTTATCCCGTAGTTAGCGGTTTCTTGCTTGTTCAACATTTTGGCAATCAGTGACATAATTGATTGTAATAAATCGCTCTTCTATACTGCTGTGCTGTCATTTCCCAGACCTTTAAATTCTGCCTTTTTGTAACCATGTTCAGTGGTTAGAGGGCGGGAGTTGGGTTCTACTTCCAGCCCTGCCACTCACTGACTTTGCTCAGTTAACCACTCTGGGCCTTCATTATGCATCTGTAAAATTGGGATAATGTGAGAATTTAAGTGCGTTTAAAGTGCTTTGAGATCCTCTCTCTCTAAGTGCAGAATATTCCTTTGCCAAATTCCTCTGTTTTATTCTGTGCTGTAGTTCGCTTGTCAAGGGAAATCCAATTGATTGCTAACATGGTTTAATGGGGTGGATTTTTTTTAGGGAGCAGAGATGAGATGGCTGTGTTGAATAATCCATACTTGCCCCTTACAGACTGTCAACATTTGTTTAATTGATATAGCTTGCATGGCATAAGAAGTAAGCCTTGACCTTTTTTTCATGCTAAGTTAAACTTGGTACACTCACTTCTAATGTTAATGTTTGCAGAACAATACGACGCATTTGTGAAGTTCACGCATGATCAGATCATGCGACGATATGGAGAACAGCCTGCTAGTTGTGAGTATCTCTGCTTCTTTAACGTCCAGCAGGAACACTACATCTCTTAATCGTTGAATACTTAAAATGGCCAGTACCACTGTTTGTCTATATTTTAACTGAAAAGCACTGAGTTAAAAGCTTGAATTCATGATGCTGTGGAGAATTTAGAGTGAAATGAAAATGTGCTGAATAATATGTCATATATGTGCATCAAATAGCTCTGCCTCCTGTAAACCATTGGGGATTTGCATTTTAAATTGATTTTTGCTATTGTCTTAATTGATTTATATTAGATTTGAATTCAGTTATCTTGTCACTAACCTTTTTCTTTTTTTCCTCTTTTCAGATGTTTCATGAATCATGTTTTCTGCATATGTGGGCTGCCCTATACACCCTACTTGTTGCAAGCTGTCCCAGTAAAAGACTTGCAGCAATGCCATATTTCCCCCCTTCCCCCACCCTCCCTACCCCCGTGAACACAGGTTATTTCAAGCTTTTGTCAGTGGCAACCACTCTTATGCAGCAACTGGTTTTGGAGTGCTCCCTGATGTCAGTACCACCTGGATGTGGACCTTTGCTACCTGTAATAATACCAGTGGCCTCATTTGCTGTATCATTACAATTTGGCTTCTTATGTTAATAAGTTTGAAAAAGTAAAGGATTAAAGCTGGTGTTCTAGAACTTGCCCTTCACTGGTTGTGTAAATAAAAATGTAGAATGACACTTCTGACTGAAGTTAGTGTGGTTTTCATAACTGTGCACTACAACAAAACTGTAATCACAGTTAAATTAGAATGTAACCCCAGGACAATTTTAAGCAACTAGCCCACAGTACTGCCTGTGAAATAGTAAAGGAGGGCATTTCTGTATTCCATGACTTTTTTGGGGGTTAAGAATGGGTTTATATGATTTCTCATTTTTGTAGTTTTTATTTATTCTATCAGTCTTTAACAAATGTTTATTGCTGCAATTTTTCAGTGTATCATTGTTTTACTGCCCTTGTAGTACTGGAATTTAGTTGGAAGAATAAAACATTTACTTCTAATCTGTTCGTTTTTAATATGCAGGTGGCACTGCTGCTGTGTATGAATAAAATTTATCCATGTTTAAATGAAAACTTTATTTACTAGCAACTGAAGTAGGTGAGAGTTTAATTTAGGAGAGGGAAATAGACTGAAATATTGAGTAATTCTGCAGAGTTTAAGAGATGATTCCTCTGTTAAATTTGGATGAGCTGCTTCATGTGGAAGCATGTTCTTTATGTAACTGACCAAAAACTTCTGATTTGATATTACTAATGTACTCAGCATCTGTTCTTTTCTCACCCCCCGATTTCAGTGATATCAAAGAAATCTGTTCATAAGACAGGCCTGTCTATTTTTTCACTCTGGGAATATAAGCTGTTTTAAAACATAGCTTTTGGTTAAGCTGCAGTAACCAGGTGTGTCTATATGCATGCTAGATCTTGACATCCCACGTCCACTATTGTGTTGGGAAAAGGTTTATTTTGTCTTATTTTGGTATTTAAAGTTGAACTGCAATGGTTAAAGACTCCAGATAGTTTCAGATGTTGGGATGTGAGCGAAGTCCTCCTGTTCGGCAAACTGGCTCTAACTGATCTTTACAACATCCATTTTTGGAAAGCCTTTCTCTTCTCTTCAGTCCCTCATGAACTCTCATATACTGGAGTAGTGACTTCACTATCACCAAAGAGATGCAAATAGCTTTAGTTGTATTCTGCATGGCTGTGGGCTGCACACAGTTTTCTCCTCTACTCACTGTGCTTGGACTGTTGAGGGTTAGAAGACGAGTATAGTGGACAAGGAAGCAAACTCATCTAGATCCTCTGTTATACTCTGGCCTTTTTCCATCTTGAGGTACAGGGAAAAATACTCAGACCCATTCCTTTCAAAATCCAAAGCAGGGAATATGAACTGACATCTCTAATGTGTCTGCTTGGGACCTGCTTAACCCTTCTCCTTCACGCTGACTACTTTAGTGCACTTTTCTGCTGTGGATGTGGGGAAGAGCACTGCTGCATCAGAGTGGAACCTTCGCTAAACACCAGTGTCCTAGTATATTTTGTCTCCTGCATTGTTTTTCAGGACATCCCTCCTGCTAAATTGATTAGCTAGGTGGTGTCCACATTGAGTGAAAGATAGCGATAAGTGCACTATTTAGTACAAATTTCTTAATATGCTATGGTGATCAGGCATTGTAGAATGGGGCTAAGAGAACCAGTAACTCTGGTTGATCTTCCCTTTTATGGTAAGCACGAGGGGGAGGATAGTTACTGTAAAGAACACGTGCTGTCACACCACTTTAGCTATGCTTATGCTGACCCACAATCCACTACAGCTGTGTGTATATTCTAAGGGCATGTCTACACTACCCACCAGATCGGCGGGCAGCGATCGATCCAGTAGGGATCAATTTATTGCATCTAGTCTAGACGAGATAAATCGACCCCCGAACCCTCTCCTGTCTACCCCTGTACTCCAGCACTGCGAGAGGCGCAAGCAGAGTCGATCGGGGAGCGGCAGCAGTCGATTCACTGCAGTGAAAACACCACGGCAAGTCGATCGTATCTGAAGTTGCGTAACTTAGATCGATTCTCTCCTCTCTCCCCCCCCGCCCCCCCGGGTTAAGTGTAGCTTGCTTAATGCCAGTTTGAAATTAACCAGATGGATGAGAAAATGCTTATAGTACAGTGGTTCCCAAACTTTAACAACCTGTGAACCCCTTTCACTAAAATGTCAAGTCTCACGAACCCCCTCCTAAAAATTAATATTTCCAGGGATATTCTCCTTGACCTGAGTATAAATTATAAAAGCTGTGATCTTGGAAATATAAAATTTGTTTTTTTGACATGCTTATTACACACTATTTGTTATTAATTATCATGTATCGTGACAGCATTTTTAGTACATTATGAAAATGGCAACACACTTCTAAGCTCTCACTTTCGTAGCTTGTGTCACTTTGAATAAGCCTGTTACAAGACAAGGCTCCTAGGTTTCATCAAGGAGTATCAGATGTGAAACAGCAGGAAGGTATTTAAGAAGCCAACTCAAAGAGTTCCTCCTACACAAGCATTCAGGTCTTGAGCAGTCCAGGCAAACAATGCGCATTACAACAAAGCTTAAACTTGTTCTTCATAATTTTAAAAACAATACCTACTGCCGATTTCATTTTAAAAACAGCAAAAAATATCCCCCTCCCTTTCCATTTCTTATAAGGAGTCTTGAAGTTTAAATCTCCTCAGTGTGATACAGATGCTTGCTTTGATCTGCTTTGCTCTTGGAAGCCCAGGAGATCTGGGCTGCCCAGGGTCCCTAGGGACAGCTCTGTCCGCCATTAGGGAATTTTTCCCCGAGAACCCCCTGTAACATTTCACAAACCCCCAGGGGTTCACGAACCCCAGTTTGGGAACCACTGTTATAGTAGATACTTAGCCAAATTCAGGGTGGTTTTTTTATACAATTGATAGCATAGGTGTTTAAAAACAAACATTTTTTACCGTCTTATTTATTTAAATTGTCAGTTGTGGGAAATTATTTAATAACATGGTGAGATTCAAAAAGTTAAAGCATAACTGTTAAAACAAATCTCAAAACAAAATAAGTATCCTTACATCAAACTCAGTTCTCAAGCAGCATTTTTCTTACCTGGCCTAGCTATATTTTCAGTGGGGTGTGTACAGTGAAATGGACATTTAACAATACATTAATCGTTCCAAGCCTATCTCTAGGCTTTTTTGCTGCTGCTGGTATTTTTTTTGTCCCCTTTTCTCCCTGAACTCGGTGCTATTAGCATGCATTTCTAGCATGTGAAGGCTGTGATGACCTAGGCATGGTGGGCTCTTGCAGTTTGGTTTCACATTTGAGCTTTTCCTTGAAGGAACTGTACTGTCCTCATTTAAAAAGGTGTTAGAGAAAAAGTGTGTTACAATTAAGAGCCTCTTACTGGCATTTTCTGTGATTTATCAACTATCACTAAACAAAGGGAAAGATGCATTTTAGGGGTAGTATTTGTCTTGCCAATTCTTTCCTCAAGCTGTAGTGCTGTAGGGATTTTTAGCCTTCTATAAACAAATGTTGGAATAATATACCAAGGGTCATGGTGAATTCTCTTATCGCTGCCAATTTTAAATCAGATTGTGCGCTTTTTAAAAGATACTGTAGGGATTATTTTGGGGAAGTTCTATGACTTGTGTTACACAGATTAGAGATCAATGATCTTGTCTTGGAATCTATATAGTTCTTTGTTGTTTGAACACCTTTTTTTTGCCCCCTTTTCCTTTCATTCGAAATCCCATGAAGTGCAAAGCCTGTCTTCCACCTTTCAAAGCTTTTGGAGTAGGCCAGGGGATGACATGCAGTGTGATGTGGGGAACCTCTTAAAACCGCCGTGCTTCTGTGGAAGTGCCTGTGGTAGAGTATTCCACTTAGGTGTTATGTAAAATGAGTTCCCTGCAGCTGGATTGGTGGCAGACTTGTGGTCTGCACTGTTATACTTGAGTTAAATATTTATTTTGCCAGTCTTGTGTAGCTGTAGCCTACAATCCAAAAGCAAAAATCAGTTGAATGCAGTGACCATTTTTTCATTTAATAAAATGACACTAAGGAGCTGGGTTAGCCCATTCCAGCAACCAGTTTATAAACAGCTGTCTATTACTAGGAGCTATAGCATAAGGAAGGAGCAAGCCTGTTCTACCAAATTCTCTCTCCCTCTTCCCCCCCCCCCCGCCCCCCAAAAAACCCCAACAACACACAACTGTCATGTAACATTTCTGTTCCCCAGCCTCTTTTTCATGTGGTATGAAAGTGAGTGATAGATTGTTCCAGCCACCAGGGCTGAAAATGTATTGCATTGTCTATAGGCAAGGAGATGGGAATAGCTAATACTGTGGTTTTAAAATTTAGGCTGCTAGGAAGGAGATTGAAGTCCACTACCTCCACGGTAGCATTCTCTGAAATGCTTCTAGGAACAGAATTGAAGGGTCTCACTGTGTGGATGAGATGATGGTGTAGGGAGAAGGGGGTTAGATTTATTGGGAACAGGAGAGTCTTTTGGGAAAGGAGGAGCACATGGTTCAGACAGAGACATCCCTTAGAGGATCTTATCTATTAATGGGAATTCTGTATATCCTGGTGAGGAGAGAAATTGATAAAGTACAGATAGGAACTAAAGAGAAAGTCAAATGAGTCTTACATCACGTAATGGCAGACCGCTAAACTGTGACAAATTTTATAAGTGCTTGCATACAAATGAATCTGAGTGCCTGGTATTAAGAGGATATTGATATAATAGGCATCTTTGACTTGGTGGAATGATAATCAATTGGACATGGCAGTACTATAGTACAAAATATATAGGAATGACTAGGTCATGCTGCTGGGGAGTAGCATATGTGAAAGTCAAATATAGTAATCTTAAAGGAATTAAACTACCATAGAATCTCTCTGGATAGAAATTCCATGCTTGAATAAAAATATAGCAATAGGGATATACTACTGACCAAGATGGTGAAATGCTCCAGACAATTAGAGAGGCTATTAAAAGAAAAGTCAGTAATAATGGGGGATTTCAACTATCCCCATAGTGACTGTGTGTCACCTTAGGATGGGATGCAGAGAAAGTTTCTAGATACTGTACCATTAAGGAGAGAGGCAATTCTTGATTAATCCTAAGTGGAGCACAGGATCTGGTTTGAGAGGTAACTAGCTCTAGGTTTTGGCAAGGGGAGAGAGCAATATCTTAAGCTGCAAAGTTTTTTTTAATTATGTACCCACTCGTTCCATACATAGTCTTTGCATTCCTGTTATGTGTACTGTGCAGATGCTTTTAACATTACCTGAAAGGGCAAATGTAACTGCATATAAATTTGATCATCTGCTACTTTATTTTTCAACTTTGATTGCAGCCTGCACATTTCTATTGGATTGGTCAATTTGATCAGGTTCACATTTAATCAAAATCTGATGCTGATGGGGGTTGGGTCTATTGACTTAAAGATGCTCTGTCCATCTGCTCAGTTTACCTCAGATGTAAGCATTTTTCCATTTTGTTTATTGGCCCTGTTGAAATTTGCCATCAGCAGCAGCTTCAGCTGCTTAGGTCTTCAACACCTGTTTGCCTTTCCTTGCTTTCTTATGCTCCTCCTTTGCCTTTCTCAATAGTTTGTTGGCCTTAATATGTAGGAGTTGTACTTCTTTCCTTGATGGGATGCTGCATCTCCTCGCTTATCCAATTCTTGTTCTGCCTCTGCTGCTATCAACCTGTGAATGCTGCAGCTTAAATCACATTATCTCTGAGCACTGCCCATTTTTTTTTCCAGTCCAGTCTCTCACCTCTGCTTCTCGCAGTGCCTCAAATCTGTTCCTTAGTTAAAGTTAGAATTTCTCACATTGTTTTGATTTTTAATTTTATACTTTTTTCTTTACCACTTTGAAATTAAAGTTAAGATCAGCTTTAAACAATTTAGCAATGCAACTATTATGGTCACTGCTTACATCTCCTGCTCTATATGCCCTTACATCTTGAACAGATTATTTGAATCTCAAGGTAATGCAGATGTGGTCGATCATCTGTTTTTGTGTTGCCATCTGGTGAATTACATTTGTGTGTGTCTGAGGGAATATGGCACTTGCAAGAGCTAGGTCAGATACTTAGCACAGTTCAGTAAGCGTCTTGCCATTTTGGTTGATTGTTCCCAATGCAGGCTTTTCCCCAGTTGCTCTTTCCATTGCTTGGTTGTCATGTTCTACTTTAGCATTAAAGTCACCCATCACAAGGAGTAAGTCATGTTCAGGTATTTTGTTGGTCACATTTTGGAGGCAATTACAGTACATAACTCCTCTTTATCCTCATCACCATGTTCCTTTGTCAGATTTATTTTTTTCTGCATATGAGCAAGTGGTTCCTTCAGAAATGCAATTATTTCAGTAAACAAGGCAACCCAGGGTATTCAGTTCTTTTGGGGAAAAAATATGATTGTCTTTTTGAATAGCATGCATGCAGTTACCAGTCAAAATTTCCACTGGCTGGGCTGGGAAGCATTGGTTGGCCTTTAGGAGTAAATGCACTAACCCTTTAGCTGTGCAGCTTCTAGTAATGGTAGTAAGACTCTCTGGCCTGAAGCTTGCACAAACCACAGTGAGAATGTATCTGAGTACTTTTGGGGGCTATTTATCAGCTCATCAGAAAAAATATAACCTTGGTCCTTGCTTTGAAGTAGGCTAGCTTGCCCACACGATTCCATACTGAGATCTTCAATCTAACTTAAAAAGTCAAACACTGCACATCAACTATTTATCTTCCTGGGGAGAGAAATCACAATAGATTACTATATCAGGACAAACCTGTATTGCAGATTTTTAATGCTGAGAAACACTGTAGCCTTATTTTAGGCTTCCACATTGTACTTCTAGACTGATGGCACTTTACAAACAATTCACAATCGCTAAGTTTGTGAGCTGGAGTGGTTCTGTCTTAATGTCTACACTTCACTAGGCTAGGATAGCCCCACGATTAAACTTATTTCATTCCTTGCATAGGGCACAAATGGTTTGGAATGTTCCACCCATCACGTGATAGCAGTGGCTGAATAGCTGTCAGTTATAAAAACATGTCAACAGTTACATTATTCCCACACAGCTGTTTCCCTAACTTGTCCCACTGCACAATGAACAAAAATCTTTGGGTGGGGGAGAGATGAGAAATGACCTTGTACTTTAAATGGGTATTTTATTACCTTCCTTCAGCACTCATAATTGTGCAATGTTCTCATTTCTCCTAGGTGGATAATGAAATCTGACTAATGTAGGCTAGCTAAAGGAGTAGTTTTGTAATAGTCTTATTTACTGTCCAGCTATGTTATCAAATTGGATAGTAACACTTGTTTTTGTCCCTTCAGGAACACTTTTCCTTCATTTTCTAATACAGAAACCCAGTTTTCTTCTGTTTGTAGACAAGTCTTCCCAGGGTACCATCACCAGGATCATCAAATAGTTCCGCTCAGAGTTGCTGGTACTGCACACCACAAGGGGGGGTTCTGGTTACAGAGGCTTGTTGTTTAAAATCTCAGCAGAATGATTTTTTGAAAATATGCAGTATCTGGAGAACATTTCATAACATGACCATTTAAATCCAGATTCTGAGCAAATTACATTCAGCATTCATGGTTACACATTAAAAAAATTCAACATAATCTCATTCTGGCCTCCTAGCCTAAACCACACCATACATCACAGAAGATGAAAACTGGTACAGAACAGTGGTCAGAACTTTGCAAGTTTAAGTGAATATTAAATCATGTACTAAAGCTGACTCCTTGTCCATACAAACATGTATAGAAAAGAGGTAATATTTTGTTGGCAATTAGAATATAGTACATAAGAGGTCAAATTTATCCTTAGTTTAACTCCTTTAACATCAGTAGTTACATAAAGGATTGCATTGTCCCCATGCCATAATGAATTTTCATAGGCAGCGTGCATACATTGGTTAGTCTTTCTTGACTTGTTCTATCATTTAACAGCCTCCCCATGTCAGCCTTGCCACATGATCTGTTTTCTGTTTGCTAGGTTTTATGAACCCTAAAAGTTCCAGTTCTGAAACAGCTCTAATAAAACGAGCGCTGGAGGTTCTGGTAAAGGAAATTAACAAGTACATATGTCATGATTAAAATAATTGAATGAAGTCACCACTTAAATTTCTCTCTAGCATGGGAGGGATTTATTGGTGCATAGTAAGCACTGTTTCAAGAAGGTGTGTGCACAGATTGAAATTCATTTAAATCAAGGCACCATGACCTCTGACCTACAGGATAAAGTATCCCTTGCTCTAACCCAGGCCTCAGGGGATCATGAGGTTACTACATGGGGGGTTGTGAGCTGTCAGCCTCCTAGCTGTTTGGGTTGGATGTGGTGGTGACTGAGGAGAGAGGGCTACAAAATATTAATTTTGTAAACTTAATATTTATTCTGTTTGTACATTCCTGGACGACAAAACTGAAGAATGAGGGGCAGAACCCCACCCACCTGACAAACCCATCCTCTGGTTACAGAAACAATGCCCCAGCTTTTGACTTCAATTCAGGCATTAATTATTTTTATTTGCATAATAAGTGAGGTGATGCCTTTGATGTGCTTGTTTGTGCCATTCATCTCTCCTCAACACTTAAATATACTTGATTTTAAATGGTAGAGGATTTAACTTCCTTAGAAATATTAAATGCAAGTTGACATTTTTGAAGGAAATCTACAATATGCTACAGAATAATGAAATATGGGCATATATTATACTAACAACATTCTGTGGCACTTGGGACCTCACCTCGCCCAACCCTAAAAGAATGAAGGTTTTGGCAAAAAGTGCCATATGACAAATGGTCAACCGTCCTTTTGTATTTTTTTATTATAAGATTGCTTGAAAAGTATTTAGCCCTCTTTCAGTCAGTTCTCAGTGCGTGAGGAAGCTGCATTAGTAAAAGCTTTGTTCATACACAAGAAAAAGGCCACTGGCTTGTACATATGTGAACATTAAAAAATAAATTCAAGCGAGAAATAACAAAGGATACTGGATAATTTCATCCACCTGGTCTGTGGCCACTGAATCTGGGTCTGTTCCTTCAACCGCTGTTACCACAGTTGAAAAGGCCTAAAGAGAAAAGCAGGTAAGATACATAACCCCTCCAACCACACACATCTCAGAGACAGTACTTGCATTACACAAGCTTTTCTGTGAACACGAGCATCAGCAAATGTTAAAAGGCTAAAGAGGAAAAAGGTAGCTCTGTAAAGCATAAAATTTGGTTTACTCAACATAAACAAGGTACAAGCAGCAACAGGGATTTTCACTGTTGGGATAGCAGTGCTGGTAATAAATGATTCCCAGCACTGGGAGGGGAGGTTGAGTGGGATGGTGATTTGTGGGCCTTACACGTACTTGCAGGGACAGGAGTCAGTGTGGCATGAGAAGACTTCGACTTTCAGAAGTGATGGCATTGAAGAGAAAAAAACAAAATGAAGAAAAGCATGCAAAAAAAAAAAAAATCAGCAAAATCTAGAGACTATACACATATATAATCAATATTTTCATCTTCACATACCTCTAACCAGTCAACAAGATTTATTAATCTGCCGCACTCCAAATGAAGTTTATACACTATGCATATGTCAGGAGCAGTATTAGAAATGCATCCGACGTCGCTTTTCAAAGTTTGATTCTGATAAAAAAAAAATAGAGAAAATGAAGGCAGTAGTTTTCACCGCATATTTTATCTTTAAAGATCTCTAGAGTTGAAAGCAAATATGATCAACCCCAGATGACTCAGGAAGTTAGTACTGTGTGTATTTTTTCATATTTATTGTTTGTGCCTCTAGAAGTACGGTGATGAGTGAAAAAAACAAAAAACAAAAAAACCCCAACACATCCACTGGCGATATAAGAAATTAAATGATGTATCATCTGGTTTGCAAAAAGAAGTTACTCACCTTGTGCAGTAACAATGGTTCTTCGAAATGTGTCCCTATAGGTGCTCCACTTTAGGTGTGCTTGTGTCCCTGCGTTGCTGACTGGAGAACTTCAGTAGCAGTGTTCCTTAGGCCCGCACATGCGCAGTCTCTCCTCGCGCCCAACCACGAGGCTAGGCAGTGCACATGGGCTAACCTCCCTCAATTCCTTCTCTAACGCAGAGTAATAGAAAAGAACTCCGAAGTAGAGGGGAGGAGGGTTGGGTTGTTGAGCACACATCAGGACACACATCTCAAAGAACCATCATTACTGCACAAGGTGAATAACTTTTTTTTCTTCTTTGAGAAGCATCCCTATAGGTGCTCCACTGTAGGTGACTCCTGAGCAGTATCCCTATTGGAGGGCTGGGACTTTGGAGTTGGGTCAGTTACAGATGACGATACTGTGGTGCCGAAGATGGCATTGGAGGCAGACTCCCCAGTGATTGCATAACGTTCTGAGAAGGTGTGGACTGATGCCCATATCACTGCTTTACAGATCTCTGATAGGGACATTCTTGAAGAAGGCGATGGATGAGATCGACCTTGTGGAGTGCGTGCGAATACTGTATGGAAGGATCATATTGCAAACTTGATTACATTGTCTAATGTAGTTCGAGATCCATTGCGAGAGTCTCTGGGCTGATATTGCTAACAGTCTTGGACCTTTCTGCAATAGAGAGGAAGAGCTTAGGAGAGTTCTTGAAAATCTTCGTCCTATCCAGGTAAAAGGCAAGGGCTCTCCTGGCATCTAATGTGTGTAATATAGCCTCTCTGTTGTCTCGGTAGAAAGTCTGAAGGTGAATCAATTGATTCATGTGCAATGGAGAGGTTAACTTAGGGATGAATTTTGGATGTGGCCTGAGCATAAGCTTGTCCCGAAAGAATACTGTGTGGGGGATGTGCTATCAGAGCTGCGATTTCTCCTATCCAGGGTGATTGCTTACACACCTCAATGAAAATGGCCTTTCTGATAGCAAACAGGTGGCCATGGGTTTGAAGGGAGACCTAGTCAGTCCTTTCAATACCAGGTTTGGGTATCATGTGGGGATAGGAAGTCGGGGCTGTGGGAAAAGGTTTACTATATCCCTGAGGAATCTTGTAGTGGTTGGGTGTGATAGCACTGAGTATCCCTCTACTTGTTGGGGGAAGGCTGCTATAGCCACTATGTGGACTCCAAGAGCTAAGAGATAACCCCAATCTTTTTAGGGTCAGTACATATTCTAGGATCTTTGGAATAGCTGCAGGTGTTGGGGAGATTTGTTGGGAAGAACACCAAAACTGGAATCTGGACCATTTTCACAGGTAAGTATGGCGTGTTGAGGACTGTCTATTGTGTAGTAATACCTCTTGTACCTCCTCCAAGCAGGAGTTCTCTAGGTGTTGGAGCCATGAAGGATCTGCGCCTTGAGGCAAAGAATCCCTAGGTTGGGATGTAGAGTGCGTCCTTTGTTTGGCAAGAGGAGGTATGGCGTGCACTGGAGAGAGATCGGCGGGCACACTGTGAGTTATGACAGGTAAGGGCACCAGGTCTGTCTTGGCCACGTAGGAGCAATCAAGTATGACGTGTGCTCTCTCTCTCTCTCTCTCTTTCTTTTATTTTTATAACAGGACTTTTGACAATAGGGGAAAAGGAGGAAAGGCATAGAGAAGGTTAGGAGGAGAGCATTGCCCATGGAGTGTTGTCCTATCCCTGTTCTGGAGCAGTAGCATAGGTAAGTGGCGAACTGTTCTGTGGTCGGTGTGCCCCACCGCCTGAATAGGTTGTGAAACCAGCTGTACTTATCTCCCACTCATGGTTGTGTGGGAATCTGCGACAGACTGTCCGCTATCGAGTTGTGTGCGCCCAGGAGGTAAGCTGCTAACAGTGTGACGCCATGGGAAATATACCAATTCCATAGTCTCATTGCTTCTGCACAGTGGGAGGGCAACCTGGTTCCCCCTTGTCGACTTATGTAGTATATACATGCCATGTGGTCTGTTAAGAGTCTCGTTTGTGATCCCTTGATCAGTGGGAGGAAATGGGCGCAAGCATTCCTGACCGCCCTTAGCTCTAGGAGGTTGATGTGAAGGAATATCTCTGTGGATGACCACCTGCCTTGTATTGTGAGGTCGTTTAGATGCACGCACCACCCTATGAGCGATGCATCAATGGTGAGAAGAAACAACGGGGAGGGAAGTGGGGGCGCGATGGGGTTGTGAAAAGGGAATCCCCCTGCAAATAATGGCTGGGTCTTTCCACCAGTCTAAGGAGATTTTGATCCTGGTGGGTAGTGACAGTTTGTCTAGTCTCTGTTTGGTCTGTAAATTGAGCTGAAGCACATCTGGAGGCATTACATGTGAAGCCTGGCATGTAGTATCATCGCTGTGCCTTCTGCCATATGCCCCAAGAGTTGGAGGCAGTGTCTGGCTGATATTTGTGGGCTCTTTTGAACGGTCTCTATGAGTGTGGCCAAGAAGAGGAAGCTGCATTGAGAGAGGAGTGCTCTGGCCTGTAACTAGTTGAGGTCGGCGTCTATGAATTCCAGAAGTTGAACAGGAACGAGGGTTGATTTCTAGGTGTTGATCTGTAGGCCCAGTTCTGTGAAAAAGTCTATTGCAGATTTAGTGAGTCAGCGAGCCCCTTGGAGGGACTGAGCTTTGTGGAGGCAATCGTCCAGGTAGGGGTAAATCACAATCCCTTGGGAACGTAAGTGCACGGCCACTACTGAGAGAACCTTGGAGAATACTCTCACAGTAGATGATAGCCCGAAGGGCAGTACTCTGTACTGGTAGTGATCTTGTCCTAGGTTAAATCTAAGGAACTGTCTGTGAGATGGTAGGATTGAGATATGGAAGTAGGTGTCCTGAAGATAGATGGCTGAAAAACAGTTTCCCTGCTCCAATGCTGGAATAATTGTTGCTAGAGTGACCATCTTGAATTTTTGAGCTCTGACAAACTTGTTGAGTACTCTGAGGTCTAATATGTGTCTCCAACCTCCTTTCCTCTTGGGTATTGGGAAATAACGAGAGTAAAACCCTTTGCCTCATAAATGTTAGGGTACTGGTTCTATGGCTCCTAACTGGAGGAGATGATGATCTCTCTCTTGTTGTAGTAAATTCTTCCAAGAAGGGTCCCTGAAGAGGGACAGGGAAGGGGGTTGTGGAGGGAGTTGGGAGGTAAAATGGAGTACCCATTATGAACAATCTCCAAGACCCATTGGTCCGATGTTATGCATTCTCAGATGCTGCGGAACATTATCAGATGGTGGCCAAATGGGTGGAAAGCAGTGGTCAGCTGTAGTGGTTGGGGCGAGTGGTCTATCGTCACATTGACCAACATGTCAACATTGGTGCTTGGAAGTGGATGACTGGGATGTGAAAGACTGTGGGACGGACGATTTATGCCCAATGAACTTAATTTTCTTTCTCTGAGGCTTGTAGTAGCGTTGAGTTGGGTATTGGAAAGTACATGGTTTGTACTGGGGCTGCGGACTAAATTTTCTCTTGTCCTGGTGTGTAGATGCCCATGCCCAGCGAGCAGAGAGTAGCCCTAGACTCTTTTAGGGTGTGAAGAGAGGAATCCATCTCTGCAAAGAGCTCGGTGCCTTCAAAGGGAAGATCTTCGACAGTTGACTGGACCTCATTAGGGAAGCTCAACAGATGTAGTCATGGCACACGCCACACAATCACCACCATGGAGATGGACCTGGGGCTGTGTTGGCTGCATCAAGAGCAGATTGTAGTGTTGTCTTGGCCACTAACTGTCCCTCCTGAATGATGGCTATGAATTGGTCGCAGTGCATGTCAAGCAGCTGATCAATAAAACTGTTGAGTTTCTAATAGTTCACATAGTTGTATTTCACAGTTAGGGCTTGGTAATTGGCAATTCGAAAGGCAGAAGAGTAGGCTTTCCTTCCAAAGAGGTCCAAATGCTTCCAATCCTCAATGTAGGGACTGGGCCTCATTTGGCGTTGATGACCACGAGAACTGACAGCGTCCACCACTGTGGAGTTGGGTGGAGGGTGGGAGAAGGAGAATTTCATCTCCCTTGCTGGGACATATTTTTTTCCGGCCCGCTTGCATGTAGGCGCCACAGATGCTGGGGTCTGCCATATGGTTTTTCTGGGATCCAGAAGAGCCTCATTAATAGGGAGGGCTATTTTTGAGGATAAGGAGGAGTGGAGTATGTCAAGGAACTTGTGATGGGTGTTCTTGATTTCTTCTAATGATATCTGCAGAGTGTCTGCCACTCTCTTTGCTAGGTCCTGGAAAAGGCAGAAGTCATCAGCCAGGAATGGTGTGGGATGCATGATGGTCTCATATGGGAAGGAGGATATGGTCCTCAGGGTCACCTCTTCCTCAATGCCGCCCTCCTGTTCCTCCACGTTCTTTTCTGGAGGTTCTGAGGCTCTTGACGCCGTAGCCGAGGGGGAGCATCTCGGGTAGGACTAGATGCTTGAGAGGCATGGGCCACTGGCCTGGTGGAGGCATAGAGCCCCGTGATGGTGCCAACGGTTGACTGCACCAAGGTGGCAGTGGTGGGGCCATCTGAGGGTATGCTTGGGGCGCCCTGTTGGTATTGGGCACCATAGGGAGCCTGAGAGGAGTACTGTGATATAGCCGCCTCGGTTCACTGTCTGAGTTGGCGCTAGAGAGCAGGGGCATGTGGCAGGGAAGACTCTCGTACCACAAGAAGACTGGTGTGGAGGTCCCAGTTAATGAGACAAGGAGA